AATTGCACACATAGCATACTTCAGAAATGACAACATTTGTAGGCTTGCAAACTATGGCACACCCGACTTGGGACTTTATCACCCCAAGAAGGCTTCATTTGTAAAATGTACAGGTAGTCCTCAAGTTATGAATGGAATGGAGCCTGCCCATTCCATTCGTAACCCGAGGATTAGTGGGAGCAAATGGGTTTACTCCCTCCTTTTGCCCACACATTCGTTAATCAAATGTGTGGTTCATTAAGTGCACATGAGGTATTTCAGGGTGGGGAAGGCCATGGGAGGCCTACTGATGGAACAGGCCACCTGCCTAAGACCACTCAAGGCCTCCCTGACCCATTGAAATACATCATACTCCCCACAATTGCTTTCTCTCCCCACCCAACCTGCTGCAACAGGTTACTTACCTTGTGAAGATCTAGCAAGCAGTCTCCTCTCCAGCCTCTCAGCTGCGTGCGCCCCTCTGCAATTCTGTTGGGGCATCCGCAGGCTGTGCCCAGCAGGTTGCTGTCTGAAATGGAGCTTCTAGGGGCCGGATTCGGCCCTTCGACGCTCCGTTGAGCCTTCCACAGGCTTCCCCCAGCTCATTGCAGGCTGAAATGGAGTTTCTGAGGGTCGGATCCGGCCCATGGAATCTCCATTTCAGCCTGCAATGTGCCAGGTAAGGCCTCTAGAGGCCCAAACGAAGCATCGGAGGAGGGGATCCGCTCCTCGGAAGCTCCATTTTGGCCAGCAACGTTCAGAACGAATGTTGCAGAGCCTCTGCGGTTGTTCATAAGGGCAAACAATTGCCGTGGCGCTGCAAGATTCGTACTTTCAGTACTTGTTCACAAACACTAGAAGTTATTTGAACGTTCGCTAAGGGAACGCTCGTAACCGGGAGATTACCTGTACTTAGACCTACATGCAGATAGTCCTTGATTTATGACCATAATTCAGTCCAGAATTACAGTTTTAAGTCATTACAGTTGTAAAACACATTCATCTAAGCAGATGTAGCTTTCTGGCCTATTTTGCAGTGATAGTTAAGCAAACCCAGGTGTTTTTTACCAGCAACTGGCAAAAAACATTGCTAATCATAGTCATATGACTGTGGAAAGCAATAGCAGTCCTAGAGCTGACCCACCCAACTTGCGGTCAAGTGACTATGGGGAGAGGGGGCACCACAGCACAACTATTTATGATGGCTGGCAGGGCTTTACAGATTGTAAAGCACCTGTTCTGTGAATATTGCAAGTTTGAATGGTTGTAAAATGACTGTTTTTAAACGAGGACTACCTATATATATAGGTATAAATGATTAATGATAAATGATTTTTCAATCACAATATTTTTCCAACAAATCTTTATTTTCAAGAAGATGTGCTAGCATGAATATAGAATCAGCAATGACGTGCTTTTCAAAGTTCTCCCATAGAAACATACGAGTCATGTGAGCTACAGATTATAGTGATACAGATTTGAAGAGGCTGGATTGAATCTGATTGCTGCAATCAATAAACAAATTAAGTAATGTCAATGTAGGTTGTTGAGTCTGATGACAGATATGGAAAAGAACGAAGCAGACAATTTACAAGGTCAAACTATAAAAAGTTTAATTGATTACTGTTGTAAAAGCAGTTCAACTTTCGTTTAAAAAATGTTACTGGTAATTTGTGTAACATTTAATGTAGGATTTGCAGGACTAATACCAAAGACTGAGAATGTCAAGGGAAACACAAGGACAACAGCAAACTTTCATAGGAAGTTTATTTTAAAAAATTGTCCCCAAATAGCCTGTTCACAGAATCAGGAAGTGGGCCTCCTTGATCTGCTGAGTGAGCCCAAACAGCAAGGACAGTCTCCAAAATTCAATTTACAAGAAACTGGGTTTGCAGGACAAATCTTATAGCCATTTTCCTTACTCCTCACCCTTTAGAATGATCACCCTGGTGCTTGGGTGATTAGCAAGACAGATATCTGATTTTATGTTTATTGGAGAGGAAGGGATTATAAGAGAATAAACAGGCACAGTGGAGAATAACACTGGAAGGAATGTACTGGAGCCCCCTGTTTGAATGATGTGCTTCAGGAACTTCAAGGTACAAAAGATATACCTTTCCACAAAGTTATAGTCTCTCCAAATGTCCAAGTATATATATCTAACCCAATAACCGTCTTCATTTCTGGATGGATCTGGGATACAATTGTTGGTCAACATTCAACTGAAGAGTTTTTGCTGAATGTTTATGTCATTTTTACTTTGATTTACTGGGGAAGCCATAGAGAGAAGAAGGATTTGTCAATAGGTTTGTCCTTATTTGAGTTAAAAGTAAAGAAAATTGGACAATGGTTTTAGGGGTTGGCAATAAAGTTGTAACAACCCTTAGAATATTTAATTGCTTTCCTAATGATCTCTAGAAGATAACGCATGAAGGGCAAATGGTTGGGGTGTCACTGGCTTATTTTCTTCATGCTAAATTCGAAAATATGCGCCTCTCTAATGCATTCTCCAGCAACTCCCCTTTAATCGCATAGCAGTTGCCGTGACAACTGGGATCGGCCTCTCAACCTCTCAGTAGAGTCAATAAGCAGCTTTAATCATAAGTAACCTTTTGCTGCTACTACCTGGATTGTGATCATGCAAAGCATTTTCCCTAAACTCATTGGGAATGGATTTCCAGTTGAATCCAGAGGTGAAAACAAAGACCTGGTGATCATGTCCATGTATGTCATAGAAAGCTACCATGGTTCTGGAAAGAGCAAGAAAATCTTTGTTTTGGATCACAATTACTCAAGAAAAGAGTAACTTAATTAATTGAAGTAGATTTTAAAAAGTTGAATGTTTTATATAACCACTTTGTTTGATCAGCATGGGGTTTTGCATACAGCAAAGCAAACACAGAGACTGTACAAGGGGTAGTTTGCGCTTTAATGAAAATGATTAAAATTTCCTTATCTTTCCTATTATTAAGTAGAAGTTTGCACTTTAATTAAATTAAAGAGTCTCCCATATCTCTCCAGTCATTAACCAAGATTAATAATACAAAAGCTGTGGGTTTCTTTGTTCCTTCAAGGAATATGTGAATATTCTACGGAGTATTGTTTTCCTTTTTTCCCAGGATTTTCAGCAACCCTGCTTTTAAGAGTTAATTTAATTTAATTTAATTAATTCAATTTATATGCCGCCCCTCTCCGAAGACTCAGGGCGGCTCAGAATACATTTTAAAAAATCATTATAAAAAACATTTAAAAATTAAAAACATTAAAAACTCATTCACGCCATTCATGGCCGGATCTCATCAGATCACAAGAGCAAGCTCAACGGCCCCAGGCCTGCCGGAAAATCCACATGCATTTGCTTCCCTTTCTTCTATTAGTACACCAAGTAATGTGTAATATGAGCAAAACGCCCCTTCCATGTTCTATGTTTGATTTATGCAATGTCATTGGCCAGGAGAATTAAGAACTGGTTGGTTTAGAGCAGGGCTCTCCAACCTTGGCAACTGTAAGAATTCCCAGAATTCTCCAGCCAGCCTTGCTGGGAGTTGAAGTCTGCCAGGCTTAAAATTGCCAAAGTTGGAGACCCCTAGTTTAGAGTGTGTGAAAGGCCTGAATCCTGGAGCTCAACGAAAGAAACGATGAAGCATCTAAGCAGAGACAACTTGGGATCTCTGGCTGGAGTCCTTATAACAAGGTATGCAGAGAGTTTCAAGAAATATTCCTTGGATTGCTGGAGAAGATAATCAAAGCCAGCCACCCACATATCTTCTTTTTTTCCATTCCATTCCTATTGATGTCATCAGCATACTGCTGGTAATCTTGCTAGGTTATCTGATGATGTCATGCAGTTTCTCCCATCAGAAGTCTTCCAGATGTGTAAATAATGGAAATTCCAGAATTTCCAACTAGAAAGGGAACACTATCAACTAAATTTTTAGCCATGTAGCTAATTTTTCAACAAGAGAAGGACATAAGGGAATATATATATATATATATATATATATACACACATACATACATACATACATACATACATACATACATACACATACATCATACATACATACATACATACATACATACATACATACATACATACATATATATATATATATATATATATATATATATATATATATATATATATTACTTGCGTATATTGCATCAGGTAAAGATAAAATGGTCCAGGTAGAAAAGAAAGTAGACAGTCTTGTTAGGGATCAGTACTTTTTTGACCTCAGGGTATTTCAGCTTTGTGAAATAAATTATGGCATTGTCCTGATCTGGTTTTTCAGATATACTGTAAAATATGAAGCTTCTCCAGAAACCTACCCTGGAATTATAAACCTTCAAAGTTTTGAATAGGGAATCATTGATCAGGTCTATTTGTGGTACCAGAATTTGCTCCTTGAATTGTACTGTATGAATGTCATCAGCTAATCCTGATCTGTATCAGATGTTTCCTGTTACACAACTGATTCACATATCAGTTAAGATATAACGTACTGTATGTTTTTAAGGCTTATTGGGATGGGCAAAACTAGCTGTTGTGGTTTGTGATTGGGGTTTATAACTCAGTGTGTGTGAATAAACCAGTTGAGGTTTATTCAATAAACCTTGATTGTAATAGCAATAGAGTAGAATCTGAAAATGTTTAAATTCTGATAAGAGTGAGGAATATTCCATCCAGTTTTTGTTACACTACAACAGCTTCCATTGTGCCTCATAATTGGTTACGCTGACTTGGATTGTTGAGAGTTGGGATACTGTGTTTGTATCATCTAGAAAACTTTAGTTCTCTAGTTATGATTTACAGTCTTCCAATAAGAGTTTACTGGTAATGTGTAGCTTCCCAATAATTAATTATAGTCTTTTGATTATCTGTATTTGGGATCATTATCTTCCATGACATGTCTAAGGATTAACTGCAATATCGTTTTACTGCATCAGTGCTATTACCCCTCAGAAAGGCAATTAATCTCAAAGACCAAAGAACAGAGTGTGGTAAACTTTAGAACTGTACTGAAACATTTGCATGTTTCCTTTTATTATGGCATCAAAGGGTACTCTTTTCCCTGGGATTATATCAATTATATTACCAAGGCACAAAAAAAGTGTATAAACACAAATAAAATGTAAACGTAGATATAAAATAGAATTTACAAGTTACAAAATGATAAAAAGGTAGAATAGAGCAATGATATAGAGTCTTCAATTAAGCAGTTCAAGTTCATTGTCAGATGCCTCAAATACATTCAGCTAAATTTTAGACACCTCCATTCTTACCACCACTGAGAAGGCCCGCCAAATTGTCCTGTACTGCCACAAGGAAACACCTTCCTTCAGCAGCGAATACTTTATCTCATATGGCAGAATCAATACTGGAGGTTTCATGTATTTATTTAGTCACCCAACTTCGGTGAATTCTGGGCAGCATACAAAACTAAGGAAAAAACATAAAAACAGCTAAAATTATTACATTAGATAGCTCAGATTAAAACGAATTACCATATTTTTCGGAGTATAAGGCGTGCTGGAGTATAAGATGCAGCTTAGTTTTTGGGGAGAAAAATGGGGGGGGAGGAAATCTGCCTACCAGGTATTCATCTGACTAGTGTCCTTAGTCTGGTCAGCTTCAGCACATTAATTTGCTGGTTTTTATCCCCTGCTTGGGGATAAAAAACAGTTTCTAAAGCAGAACTGATCTTTGGAGAGAGAAGCAATGAGAAAAGCAGGCAAACCACGGAGATCACTTCATTTGCTAGCGCCTCGTTAGGGCTGAAAAAAGCTTCAGAGTCCAGCTGAAAAGCTCCAGCTGAGAGTTGGATGGAGCAGACAAAAGCTTCACTGAGAAAAAGCTTCTAAAGAACAGCTGAGAGTTGGAAGGAGCAGGCAAAGCCCAGAAGATCACTAGCGCCTCCTTAGGGCTGAAAAAAAGCTTCGAAAAAGCTACATTCAGAGTATAAGATGCACCCAAATTTTCAGCCTCTTTTAGGAGGGAAAAAAGTGTGTCTTATACTCCGAAAAATACGGTAATAGAGAACAAAAATCAACAAACATAACAGAGACCCAAGGCAAATAATAAGCATCAACCCAGGGATCAAAGCCAAGTTTTTAAAAATGAACGCGAATATACGTGTCCCAGGATAATGTTGCAGGATCCAATCTGTGTCGGTCACTAGGACCAGAGGTTTTATCTTCCGAGCTTTCAGACTCGTGCTGGAGTCTGACTAGAGATAAGTTCCTTGAAGATGGGCTCCAGCACGAGTTCGAAAGCTCAGAAGACAAAACCTCTGGTCCCAGTGACCGACACAGATTGGATCTAAATTTTCAAAGTTTTCCTAGGAGAGAATGTCCCATCTTTATGTCTGGAGGGATGTAGTTCCTGAAAGTGGGGGCTGCATCAGAGAAATCATGCTTCCTAGATCTTACAAGATGACAATGTCTAATGCAGGGGGCTGGAGCACATTTACTCTGCTGAAACCTGCTGGGCAGGCAAAAACAGTTGGCAAATTAAACAGGTGATTCTGGAATTAAACCATGATGGGTTTAATGAATCCAACTCTGAACTTTCAATTTGACCCACAGTTCAATGAAACTGAATCACTTCACATGACTTAGCATAAATACAGCCTGTTAGCAATTCAGCAGTTGTGATGTACATTTACTGCAAGTTCTACAGGGTATTCAAAGAGGTTTCTCGCCCACCCTCCTTGCTCTCGGTTCTCCACCCATCCATCTTTTTGGTTATCCTACTGATGTATTCTTGTTGCGTTCTTTTTTTCATTGTTTATTTTATGGTTCTATTATTTTACTTCTGTTCTGTTTACACTCCTTTCATTTTCTTCCTCTGCATTATTGTAAACCGCCTAGAGTAGCCCCATGGTGAGCTAGGCGGCAAACGAATTTAACAAATAAATAAAATAAATATCAGCTCATGAATGATTCAAGTCAGGCTAAAACCCTACTGTGTTATCACTAACTTTTGAACTTCCAGCTTTCCATTGCTATAAACTAGTTTCATTATTGTACCAAGCAGCTGCTTTTGTAAGGTTACATTTGGTTGCCGTCCTCTGTACAGTACAATTTAATCTTTCCTCAGAAATGCCATTTCAGTCTGTAACAGCAAATGACTGGGACAGTAGTCTAGTCATGAAATGGTCTAGACTAGAAGTGGTTCATTGTGGCTAAAGTTTTCAGAGAAAATCACCTGCTTTGTTAGATGGATCACATCTTTAGAGAAAGTGCAATGCATTGATACTCTTAGGCTGAAAAATTCAGTGAATGAAAATCATCAGTAGAGTGAAACTGAAGAACTGGAACGTAAAGTTTTGCCATTTGATATAATTAAAATAACATAACCAGAGAGCATAAGCTGATAGGTACATTAATTTCTGCAAAATTGTGCTGTTCAATTTGTAAGATTGACAATATAGTCCAGCAAAATATAAAAGTTTTTTTTAAAAAACAACAACACCAGACACTTTAGTCTATCTGTCCTCTGCTTGGTGCACTTCTCCATTCCACTTCACCTAGGAATGCATCAATATGTAATTAAATACCATCTTTTATCATGATGAGCCCAGAAAATGTGCATAGCACTTTATAGGTTTCGAAAGTGAGAAGACAGATAGGGCCCTCCAACTTTCAAAAACCTTATAATTGAAAATCGACAAAATGAAGTATAGTTTCTTGTCAAGGGGGAATTCTCAATTTGAACAAAGCTTCTTATTTATAAGTGAAATGTTTACTTCAATAAATTATTCTCATGTGTGTCTATGCTTTAATAGTTTGGTTGCTTTTATTGTTTCTATTATTGTTGCAGTCCTTAGCTGAGGCAGCTTTGCAGTATTCAACAAATAACTCCAGAAATAAGTCTTTCAGTTGATTTGGGAATAATATTACACTGGATTGATGAAGCATGTTAAGCAGACTGCTTGGTTCTATCACGTATCAGCCCTGTTAATGAATTCCTCTGGGACTTGTGGCAAGACATTTTATTTTCAATGTGTTTGTTTGCAAAATGGAGAGAAATGCATTTGTTTTGAAACCTAGGGTGAAGAAAAGAGTTAATTGCATTAACCCAGTTTTACCTGTCTAATGGAATAAGAGAGAATGATTTAAAATTCCACAGAGCTATTCCACAGCAAAGGAACAAATCTGCAGAACTGCAAAGTTTGTAAGAATGTGTAAAATTGTACGTGGCTTTATTAATTACTACAGTACCTAAGGAAAGACAACATTTATAGATCAATGCTACACAGAAAAAAAATGGGGAAACATGGTATTGTCAGCTTGAAGGGAAATTTAAACAGAAAAAGTTACACTTCATAGTTGCCTACAATTTGGCTTTAAATAAATACTCCCTAATCTTTCCCAGCCACCTTGAAAGAGTTATTGCTCTTACGCAAGGCACCAGACATAGTGAGCATCACCTACGGCAAATGGATTTAATACAATTTAGGATAGAGATAACCAGAATGGGCCACAGCCAAGAAGTTATTTATTGAAGATTGAGCGTGGTGTCCTTAAGATTTTATGACCTTTTCTGAAGACTGAAATATTAGCTTCCCTGGGAATGATTCCCTGGATGGTTTTATTATTCAGGTCCAACCCATATAGTAGATCACTAGAAAGAAAAGCAACTCCCACTTACCTGTGGGTACATTTAAAGTGCATGTAAATGTCCCCCTAGTTGTTTTGGACTACAAGTCCCTACTTCCTTACGTTGGCTGGAGATTCTGAAAACTGTAGCATAAGCTATTTTACACATCTTTCCCTAATGCTTTGACTAACTAAAGGAAACTTGTATGGATCTTTAATATGCACTACCAAAGATATTGAACAAGGGGGTAAAAAAAATCAGATAATTAAACATGAACAGTTTAGCTTGAAAGGAACCAAAAGCACTGTATAGATTTATGAAATAATATTATATCACCCAGATGGCTGAGGATCAGTGGTGGGTTGCTCCCAGTTCGGTCCGGTTCTATAGAACCGGTAGTAAAACTGGTGGGAGGCTCTGCCCACCCACCACTATGTCATCATGGGTGATCTGCGCATACTCCTGTTGTGAACTGTTAGTAAAGGTAAGTGGAACCCACCGCTGCTGAGGATGCACTATAGCTTATTGGCAGTAGGGCTGTCCAAATAGTGAAGGCAAAGTGGATAACTGGCTCTTTCCCACCCTTCAACAGTCAGGTTGCTCAGAGCTCCAATAGGAATAGTCTGAGAGGAAGGCAAGAAGGCACAAATGGGGGAGGAGCCATCACTGTGCTATTGTTTCTCCACCTCCTCCTCCTCTGCTATCTATAACTTAGCCAGCTGTTGCATCTGTCAGCAGAAGCAGCAACATCAGACTCTTCTGTTTCTAGTTTAATCACAATGAAATGGAACACAGAGGGGCTGCACCATGTGGTACAAGGAGAGCCATGGAGGCCCATAATTGACGCGGTGGCAGGGAAGAAACAGTCATGTGACTCCCCTTCCTTTCGCCTACATACTTCAATGGTGGAAAGTGGGAAGGAGGAGGTAGTATCTGTGCTTTCTCACCACTGGAAAGTCCAGTCTAGGAGGTTTGACTTGGGGCCAAGAGAGTTCCACCTACTTTCCAGTTGGCAAGTGCATATTTAATGTGCAGTAGAATCTAGAATCAGCTGGAGGTGCTTAATGATGAAAAAGATTTTCCACCTCAGACCTGATTCCCATTCCTCCGATTAATCTTGATGAGATTTGCTAAGAGGAATGTAGCATTCCTTCTTCCTGGTACTTTATGGTATATCACACCAGTGAGAAAAATATAATGTGATCCACAGTGACCATCAAACAAACAGTGTTTGTTTTTTTTTCCATTTCACCTGGAGCATGAAACCAGCATTTTATAGTCTTAGACCGTAGACTTTTATGGTCTATTTTATTTGCCCTATATAGAATGGTATTGTTGGCAGATGATAAAATGTATTATATTGCCATGTGTGGAACTGAATGAAATGATTAGGTTGTCCAGCAGGGTTGCCAGAATAATGGAAGCAGCATTGGCATCTCTAAATTTATTACAAAATGTCTCTTCTGACTTATTGTGATCATTATTTTAGAAGAAGAGATCTTTCTGCTACTGGTAGTAAGATCAAGCTTAGCATTTAGGGCCTGAAATTGGGTAATATTATTATCCAAGAGCAAAGATTTTTTGACAGGACCTAAAACTAACACCATTCCTTTTTAAAATGTATTTTAGTGTAGCTTTCTTCTAGATGGTACTTGCTGTAAACTCAAAAAAAACTTAGCCAAATTCATTTTTTATTCTGATAAGGTCTATCTAAACTAAAGGGTGCTAATTTAAGGCCACTGTTATGTATGTAGATTTGGGCGGGCAGTTTGAATTAACTGACCGTCAGCTGATTGGCTAACCACCACAGCTGCAAGGTATATAAGGGGAGCTGTTTC